TTATAGAATTTAATTTACCCTTAAAATTTGTCTTTATATTCTGAATGTATACATGAAACGGGCCTATATCCGTTGGTTGGTTTTTAAAACATTGTCTCATTTTTTCAATATTTGGCAATTCTTTTGAAGGTAATTTAGTAAATGGAACATTGACATTACTTACAGGATCTTGCTTAACATTTTTTTGATCTTATCTTACTTTTGGCGATTCTTTCATTATGGCATCTAAACTCAAACAAATAATGATTGAGAGTGAAAGCAGGTAGAAATACGACCAAATCGGAGGCGTGCTTATTATTTTTGAGAGGGTACAATTATTTAAAATATTCATACAATTTCTTTTATTTATTTCATGAAAACTTTGCAATATCGTAATTTACCTAATCGTTGTAGTCATTAGTGGGGCTTTATGAAAACGGAGTAATAATTGTGGTAATTATAGTAGGAACCAAATAAATTAAGAATATTAATAAAAATCACAATATATATTTCAAATTAAAAATAAGAAAGATACCTAATCAGTTGTTGGTTTGGTGACAGAAACAATATTATCAATTTTACTATTTTAATAATGAATTTAACTTTATTTCACAAATTAACGTATATTTATATATTATGTCGCGGCCGAAGTAAGTAAGGAACTGTCTCTTAAGTTTCTTCTTGGGTTACACATACAGAAGTATTACTTAAATTTTAAATTAAAATCATAATGACGGATATTGCATATCCAATGCAATTGATATTTTTATTTTGTTTTGTTTAGTTATTTTTAAATTTTTATATTTTTTAATCTTTTTATATTATATTTAGTTTTTAATTTGATAATTCAAAACCCGATGTTACGCTCGTGGTTAGAAATACACTACTGAGAACGTCATCGACGAGATGGATTTTACGCGTAACAGACAAAGACACAAATATCGCTCCGTACACCGATGCCATTAGTTGTAACAAATACTGAATACTGAAAATAATTAATTTTAAATGATTAAGAAATGTATAAGTATTACTCATTACTTATTTTTGTTATAATTAATATCTTTTATTAATATTATGATTGTGTATTATCTATAATTTGCCACAACTTACAACTCTACTACTTACTCTATTTTGATTCTGCTAAAAACTAGTAAGGTAAAATTGAGATATGACAACACGGTTCACTCTCAATCAATATTTGTTTGAGTATACCTCCATAACAGATTCCAATTGGGTATTAGTCCAAGTTGAAGGGTCTCCCCAGTCAGGTGGGTTTTCTGGGGGGACTGAGCCCCCGTTAATAGAGTCCATTAAACAGAGCGCACTATAGTCACTATTTAAAAATTTGAAAACTCCCAGTACAAACTGACTATTAACGAAACAGAAACACAGATAACTAAACTAGAAACTATCAAAATTAATTATATCAGACAAGAAATATATTTATTGAATGACAACTATTTGACCCTCTTCGGTTGAATGGTTGGTTGATTGGTTTTACCAATGAGGTTATTCTACTAAGGAACTATAAAAGAGACTATAAGTTTAGCATACTAAACATGTAGACTCTAAATTATAGTCCAGCCATATTCTACTAGTCTTAGAAATAGTCCGACTATAAATTTAATAGGGCTACAACTACAGTACTAGAAAATTAGTCTGTGAGGTTTGGCAACGTTGTGTTCTAAGAACATCAAGAAGAATAATTATATGATTTTGCTCATAGCACATAGATGTTTAGTCTAAATGCTTTTCAAAAAAGAAGAATGAATAATTCCCATTCAATACTTCATTAGACCTTGTGTTTACTACCAGTGTTTTGCTTTTTTATTATTAGATTTTTATGATTAAAAATGGATCAGAAACGACAGAGATGTACAGAAATTCAATTAAACCACTTAGTAGACTACATGTCTGATCATGAAAAATTTGCGACAGGAAAGTTTGTTGGCATACAAGGGAAAAAAATGCAAGGGGAAATGTGGGTAAAATTATCAGATAACTTGAATGAAATGGGTCCCCAAAAAAGCGTTGAACAGTGGAAAACAATTGTTAAATTTTAAATTAATTGTTGTTTTCTGAAGATTTTTCTGTTTACAGTTCATCAAATTTCTAGAGGTGTTCGACGCCCAGACAGAGAACGCGCTACGTGTGACTAAGATAGCTATTGTACAGTCTGCTAAACAAGTTATTTTAAATAGTTTTTAATATTTTTAGGTAATTAAATTTTAAAAGTGTGGAATAGTTTAGGGATTAAATTGGTCTGATTGGACTTTCTTAGAACGTTTTTAAAAGCAGCTAAAGATAGTATGTAGAATTGAAAATAATTATTATGCCATAAAAGGTGTTTTGGAATTCCTTCAACCTTTTGAAATTGAGTCAGAAAATATAAATTTTATAGGATAGCGGAAAATACCTATAATTTTTTTGTGGAAATAGTTTATATTTTATTTCTACCTTATTAAGGAAAATGGTACCTATTATTAATAACGGTTGTTTCTGAAACACTACTAAAATTTTCGAAATTTTGTTTTTCTACAAAATAATAAACTATACTATTTAGAAAAAAATTTATTTCTCTTATAATTTTATAAAAAATAACAGGGGAATATTTACATTTCTTGATCTATTAAACAAAACGATAAATTATCTCGACGAATGACACCATGTTCTAGTACGGAAGCTAGCTTTACATTTTTGTTGGTGGTTTCATGGGTTTCATATCAATTTTTTGTAATTGTAGTTTACACGTACATATACCTCTTAACACTTGTTTGCTTTATTAAAAAAGTGTGTTGTTGTGATTTACGTCGAAATAAGTCAAACACAACTTGAAACCCCATATAAAATCAAAAAGGAGAAACGGAAAAAAATTGAGCCTTTAAATGAACACAACTCAGAAACAAAAATAGCTATCTAATAATAAAAAAATAAAATTTGATTCTTGTGCATCTTCGTTGTAAAAATAGATAATACTTTTTTGATCTTAGGTACAGATATAATTTTAATGGTCTTCCGAAAAACTTTCTTCAGTTTCCATATCAGATTCAAAATCAGTCTCACTGTCACTGTTTAAGTTAATTATACATCTATCAGTTGCCTCATCCAAAGTAACTTCTCTGTCATAAAATTTAGATTCCCACATTTTAGCATTATTACAACGAGATTGCCACTCCTCTTTAGAAAACGTATCAAAAAAGTCTTCACACAACAGTTGTACGTCTTGCCTCTTAAATGTAGTGTTGTTACTAGCTACATATTGTTTCAATGATGCCCACACTAATTCGATCGGATTAAGATCGGGATGATACGGTGGCAAACGCAAACAACTACAACCATGTTCATTTATCATTTCTTCAATTACATACCTCTTAAATCGTGACTTAAGCAATAGCACTAAACTGTATAATTGCGTTTTGAGCACATCCTCTTCGTAAGCAATATTATGATTCCTTAACCAATCCTGCATGTCAGCTTTTTTAGAAGTTGACGTTGGTGCTTTATTTACCTGGACATTATGGTAAGGAGCATTATCAACAATAATGACGCTTCTTGCAGGGAGGTTCGGAAACAGCTTTTCTTTCAACCATTTAGAAAAATTATTAAAATTCATTTCATCGTGGTAGTCTCCACTTTTGGTTCCAGATTTGAAAATTAACCGGGCATTCGGAATAAAGCCCATTTCACCTCCTGCATGGACAATAATTAGTCTATCACCTTTATTAATTGGTTTCTTTAATCCCTCATTTGAATTATCACTCCAAGCTTTCTGGTGTGTGTGGGAGGCATGAATGTATGTTTCATCTAAGTAGACAATTGGACGGCCCTCTGCTCGATAACTTTTTAAACGAATCAGATAGTCTAAACGTAGCTTTTGAATATCAAACCTTTCCATTAATATTTTTCTGTTTGTTTTTGTTTTCCGCCAACGAAATCCTAGCGACTTTATTATTTTTCTTAAACTTTCATAGCTTCCTTTGTACCCTGTAGCTTCTCTAAATTTAGTCAGAATTGTTTTTAATGTTGGAACAATATTTTCCGAGATTAACATGAACAGAATAATTCTTTTTAAAATACCTTTGTCAGTTTCATATATATCATTAACTGTTTTTGGTTTTTTAATGGTTTTTCTTGGTGATGAAAATTCCGATATCTCACGGTTATCGATTCTTTTTTTCTCTCCAGAAATGCGGACGACAGTGTTTTTAGATACTCCTGTGGCTGCAGCAACACGATCATTTACATTTTTAAATGGTATTGAAGGTGAATTAAAGTTTCCTTCTCTTCTCATAAACTCTATAACATTGGCTATTATTTCGCGAGATTGACTGTTAATCACGCGGCCTCTTAATTTGCTATTAAACTCCATACTTAGGTTCTATTAAACTGTAATGAGCAAAAAACACAAACGAAAATAAAAGAAATGTTTTAGCGAAATTTACGTCTGACATTTACGTCTGAATAAAATAGTGAAATACTTGAAGCGCAGAGTGTACTTTCATTGCGTAAATCTGTCGGCCCCGCCAACCGATGCCTCTCAGTAGTGCTTTCTCTGTCTAGCCGTCGAAAGCCTCTAGAAATTTGATGAACTGTAAGGTTGTTCCACTTTACTTTTGCCGTTTTATAATTGTCCGATAAATATTCACAACTCTCACATCAAATTCCAATAAAACAAAAAATCAGGATATGTGTACACTTCTAGCATACTTTTAATTTTAATAGGCACCTCATTTGGTGCTTGTAAGAATAGACTACAGTGTAGTCCTCATATGCAGACTATAAGGGGTGCTAGAAGCTTAATAGAATACGAAAAAGCTAGGACTCCACTTTGAAGTTAGGAACATATAAAGTTCAAGCCAAAATCCAACTTGTAGCCGGGCTATAAATTTAGTAGAATAACCCTGCTGATAACGCTTCGTTATAGTTTAGGAAATATTTTCCAAAAATTGAAAAGCGTTGATACTTAAATGTCTAATTTTTATAGTGACTGTTTTTTTTTTTCACCGAATTTTGTTTTGTAGAAAAACGAAAAAGAAAATCAAAAAACCTGTTGTGGTTGATTCGGATGACGACGATAGCGGCAATAAAAAATCCGATGACGAGGAGAAATCAGACAGCAGTAGTAACAGTGAAAAGAAATCCGATAGCGACGACGAAGAATTTTCGAAAAAGTTTGTATAGTCATGTTTATTTATTACTAATTGACAATTAATTCGTCATTCGTATGTTTCAGAAAGTCGCAACGGAAGAGCCGAATAAAGAAGAGCAAAAACAGCAGCAGCGATAGCGAAGAGGAAGTGTCAACTAGAAAACAAATTCGAAAGGTATAATTAACAACAATTTCAAGAGTTACCGAAAAAAAATACACTTGAAAATTTTTTTTTTAGGTATTAGACAAGGACAGTTTGTCGGAAACTACGAAAAAGGCCGAAGAGGAAGAGAGGGAACGTAAAGCCCGTATTGCGGAAAAACAGAAAAAAGTAAGATTTGTTTTTTAATAACTTTTCAATCGTAATATTTTACCTTTATATACACATAATAATAGTTTTTAAGTAAAACTCTTTAATAGCCCGCTAAACGACCAAATTTTTTTCAAAAACCTTATTGTTTTTCGTTAATTTTGTCACAAGTGGCATTAAAACAACGTTATCATCACCTTTAAGATTTTTATAAAAAAATCCCTAATTATTTGTTAACTTTTTTACACCCTGTATAAAATCACGGTAAGTCTCTTAAATTGACACTTTTAGTCTCTCTTGACGCTCTCAAACGGATGCTTATTTTTGAAATTGACATCTTAGTTTCTGAAGTTAATACTTTGGTATCTTGAATTGACGCTGTTGTCCCTTAAATTGACACTTTAGTTTCTCTTGGCGATTCAGTATGTCAAATTGATGCTTAAGTTTTTGAAATTGACCCATTAGTCTCTAAAATTTAAACTTTAGCCTTCTTTGATGTCAGAGTATCCAAAATGACGATTTAGTTTCCGAAATTGACATCTTTGTCTCTTTTGACGCTTTAGTGTCTCAAATTGACACCTTAGTCTCTTAAATTCACGCTTCCTTTGACATTTTGGTATCTTTAATTGACGCTTCTGTTTCTTAAATTGACACTTTACTTTCTCTTGATGTTTCAGTATGTCAAATTGATGCTTAAGTTTTTGAAATTGACCCTTTAGTTTTTGAAATTTATTCTTTAACCTTCCATGATGCTAGAGTATCCAAAATGACGATTTAATTTCTGAAATTGACATTTTGTTTCTCTTGACGCTTAAGTGTATCAAATTGATACCTTAGTCTCTTAAATTGACACCTTAGTCTCATAAATTGACACCTTAGTCTCTTAAATTGACCTCTTAGTCTCTTAAATTAACACTAGCTTCCTTTGACACCTTGGTTTCTTAAATGGACGCTTCTGTTTTTTAAATTGACACTTTAGTTTCTCTTGACGCTTCAGTATATCAAATTGATGCTTAAGTTTTTGAAATTGACCATTAGTCTCTGAAATTTATACTTAAGTCATCCTTGTCGCTTGAGTACCCAAAATGACGATTTAGTTTCTGAAATTAACATCTCGACGCTTTAATGTTTCAAATTGACACCTTCGTCTCTTAAATTGACACTTTATCTTCCTTTGACATTTTGGTATCTTAAATTGACGCTTTAATTTCTCTTTGTGCTTCAGTATGTCAAATTGATATTTGATTTTTGAAATTGACGCATTAGTTTCTGAAATTTATACTTTTAGCCTTCCTTGATGCTTGAGTATCCAGAATGACGATTAGATTTGTCTCAAATTGACATCTTAGTCTCTTAAATTAACACTTTAGCTTCCTTTGACATTTTGGTATCAAAGTGATGCTTCTGTTTCTTAAATTGACATTTTAGTTTCTCTTGGCGCTTCAGTATATCAAATTGATGCTTAACTCTTTGAAATTGACCCATTAGTCTCTAAAATTTATACTTAGTTTTCCTTGATCCTTGAGTATCCAAAATGACCATTTAGTTTCTGAAATTAACATCTTAGATTCTCTCGACGCTTTAGTTTTTCAAAATGACACCTTATTCTCTTAAATTGACACTTTAACTTCCTTTGACATTTTGGTATCTTGAATTGACGCTTTTGTCCTTTAAATTGACTTTAATTTCTCTTGGTGCTTCAGTATGTCAAATTGATATTTCAGTTTTTGATATTGACCCATTAGTCTCTGAAAGTTATACTTTAGCCTTCCTTGAGGCTTGAGTATCCAAAATGACGATTTAGTTTCTGAAATGGACATCTTAGATTCTCTCGACGCTTTAGTGTTTCAAATTGATATCGTAGTCTCTTAAATTGACACTTTAGCTTTCTTTGACATTTTGGTATCTGGAATTGACGCTTTTGTCCTTTAAATTGACACTTTAATTTCTCTTGGTGTTTCAGTATGTTAAATTGATATTTCAGTTTTTGAAATTGACCTATTAGTCTCTGAAAGTAATACTTTTAGCCTTCCTTGATGCTTGAGTGTCCAGAATGACGATTTGGTTTCTGAAATTGACATCTTAGTCTCTCTTGATGCTTTATTGTCTCAAATTGACACCTTAGTCTCTCAAATTGACACTTTAGCTTCGTTTGACCTTTGGTATCTTAAATTGATGGTTCTGTTTCTTAAATTGTCACTTTAGTTTCTCTTGGCGCTTCAGTATATCAAATTGATGCTTAAGTTTTTGAAATTGATCCTTTCGTCTCTGAAATTTATACTTTAGTCTTCCTTGATTCTTGAGTATCCAAAATGACGATTTAGTTTCTGAAATTAATATCTTAGATTTTCTCGATGCTTTAGTGTTTCAAATTGACACCTTAGTCTCTTAAATTAACACTTTAGCTTCCTTTGACATTTTGGTATCTTGAATTGACGTTTTTGTCCCTTAAATTGACACTTGAGTTTCTCTTGGCACTTCAGTATGTCAAATTGGCATTTCAGTTTCTGAAATTGACCCATTAGTCTCTGAAAGTTATATTTTAGTCTTCCTTGATGCTTGAGTATTCAGAATGACGATTTAGTTTATGAAATTGACATCTTAGTCTCTCTTCTGTCTAAAATTGACACTTTAGCTTCCTTTGACATTTGGGTATCTTAAATTGGCGCTTTTGACCCTTAGATTGACCCATTAATCTCTGAAATTCATACTTTAGCCTTCCTTGAGGCTTGACTATTCAGATTGACAATTTAGTTTCTGAAATTGACGCTTTAGTGTCTCAAATTGACGCTTTAATGTCTGAAATTGACATTTTACTATCTCTTAACGTAATAGAATACCGGATTTAACCAGTTTGGATTTTTACAAAAACCTAATTTCTTTTTCGATATGTTTACTGATATTTCACTTAAACTGTCAACTTTTTAGTTCAAGCTTGCATCGAAGGAAAAATGGCGTCACAATAGAAAATAACATGTTATTGTTTTTTTTTTTAATTTTTATATTTAATATTAAGTATTACCTTTTGAAAATATAGAACGACATACTCGCTGACCGGATCTGACCCCTTTGGTTTTTTTTTTTTTTTATAAAAACACTTCAATTGGTAATTTTATCAAGCACTTGTATAAAAACGACTTTGGTAAATCTGAACGCAGGGAAATTTAATTACAGATGGTTTCAAAGCAAAATATATACAATAGACCTCTAGACGACCGTATTCGGCCTCTATTGATTTTTCTTTAAACCGCAATTTTACCTTGCGTAGCGCGATCTGTTATTCAGATTGCCATTTTTTTTTTCTTTTAGTACAACAGAATGTTCGAGGAGAAAAAGGACGCGACCGTAGAGAGCGTCGTATTGGACTACCACGAAAAAACAAAAGAGCCGCGAATATCCGTTCACAAGAAAATTGTGAAAAATCTAAAACCACATCAGGTATCTGGTATCCAGTTCATGTACGACGCCTGCTTCGAATCGGTGGAAAGGACTATGAAATCGCCTGGATCCGGTTGCATTTTGGCCCATTGCATGGGTCTGGGTAAAACTTTACAGGTAAACCTTTTATTTCTCTCTTACTCTGCCTTTAATCAGTAACGGTTCGACACTTCAAACTCTCAAATGAAACTTTTAGCTTCTTATTGAAATTGACACTTTATTTTTCTAAAATTGTCAATCTGACGCTGTAGTATCTCAAATTAACACTTAAAGCTCTTTTGACGTTTTGGTATTCTAAATGTTAGCCATTGTTTTTGAATTTGACACTCTACTCTCTGAAATTGATATTTTAATCTCTCTTGACAGTTTAGTATGATAATTTGATGCAAAATAATCACAAACTGACACTTTAATCTCTCTTGACGCTTTAGTATCCCAAATTAACGTTTTAGTAACTCAAATTGACGCTTAAGTATCTCAAATTGATGCTTTAGTGTATAATTATCACTTTAACCTGAGTAATTGACACTTGAGTGCCTTTTAAAATTTTATTATCTGAAATAGATGCCCTAGTCTCTGAAATTACCACTTAGTCTCTCTTGGCACCTTAATATTTTAAATTGATACTTTAGTCTTTCTTGACGCTTTAGTTTTTGAAATTGACGTTATAGTCTTTGAAATTCACACGTTAGTATTAGTGCTTGATGTTTTAGTCTTCGAAATTCACGCTTCAGTCTCGGCACTTTAGCCTCTCTTGACACTTTAGTATCTCAAACTAACTGGTTATTACGCCAAATTGACATTATAATTCCAAATTAACACTTCATAATTCCAAATTGACACATAACGACGCTATATTGACGTGTTAATATCCCCAATTGAGGCTTTATCATTGGATAATTCACTGAGTAGTTCCACATAGGGCTGACCTGTTTATTTTTGTCTTTATTAATCATATGTTTTTGTAATGTATACGTACTTTTTATACAGTTCACTTTATTGACTTAAGAACTTTTTTAAGTAACTTAAATTGACACTTTAGTAATAGTAATTGTACTTAAATCTCTTTAGACGTTTTAATTTCTTAAACGTTTGCTTTAGTTTTTGAAATTGACATTTTAGTCTCTGAAATTGATATTTTAGTCTCTCTTGACAGTTTAGTATTGCACTTTGATGCAGTAGAAACAAATTGACACTTTTATCTCTCTTGATTCTTTAGTATCCCAAATTAACGTTTTAGTAACTCAAATTGACGCAATAGTGTGTAATTGACAGTTTAACCTCGGTAATCGATCCTTCAGGGCCTCTTAAAACTTTATTATTACATCAAATAGACGCTTTAGTATTTTAAATTGACACTTTAGTCTTTCTTGACACTTTAGTTTTTGAAATTAACGCTATAGTCTTTGAAATTCACAATTTAATCTTAGTTGCTGACGCTTTAGTCTCTGAAATTGACGCTTCAGTCTCAGCACTTTAGTCTCTCTTTTGATGTTTTAGTATCTCAAACTGGTTATAATCCCAAATTAACACATTATAATCTCAAATTGACACATTACAACGATGCTATATTGATGTGTTAATATCCCCAGTCATATGGCTGACCTGTTAATTTTTGTCTTTGTTAATCATGTTTTTTTTTGTAATATATACGTCCTTTTTATTCAGTTACTTTATTGAGTTAAGAACTAAATGCTATACACTCAAATTGATGTTTTAGTTTTTTTAAATTGATGCTATAGTCTCTGAAATTGTCACTTTAATCTTTCTTGACGCTTTAATATTCAAAATTGACGCTTCAGTATCTTAAATTAAGGCTTTATTATGAAATTTACGATTTAATCTTATTAAATGACAATTTTTGACGCCTTAGACATTGAAATTGACATTTTAGTCTTCCTCGACGCGTTGGTATTTCAAACTGAACGCTTTAGTTTTAAAAGTAGCCACATTATTCTTAATAATTGACACTTTAGTTTTGTGTCTCAAATTGACCTTTTAGTATCTAAAATTGATGCTTTATTTTTGTATATTGACAGCTTACTCTCTTGGCACCTAGTTTCTCAAATTAACGATTTAGTATCTCATATTTCGGTATTAGGCACTGAAATTGAGCGCTTTAGTTTCTAAAATTTACACCTTGATGCTTTACTTTCTCAAAAGTACGTTTTAGTATCTCAAATTGACGTTTTAATCCCCGAAATTGATGCTTTAATCTTTCTAAATTGGCACTTTAGTATTTCTTGATGCTTTTGTACCTCAAATTGACACTTTAGTTTTTTTAAATTGGTGCTGTAGTCTCTGAAATTGACACTTTAATCATTCTTGACGCTTTAGTATCTCAAATTAAGGCTTTATTGTGAAATTGACGATTTAATCTTATTAAATGACAATTTAGTATCTCGTGACGCTTTAGTTTTTGACGCCTTAGACTTTGAAATTAACATTTTAGTCTTCCTAAATGCGTTGCTATTCCAAACTAAACGCTTTAGTTTGTAAAAGTGACCACATTATTCTTAATAATTGACACTTTACTTTTTTTGTCTCAAATTGACCTTTTAATATCTAAAATTAATGCTTTATTTTTTTATATTGACAGCTTACTCTCTTGGCACCTAGTTTCTTAAATTAACGTTTTAGTATCTCATATTTCGGGATTAGGCACTGAAATTGAAGCTTTAGTTTCTAAAATTTACACCTTGACGCTTTAAATTGACGTTTTAATCTCTCAAATTGATGCTTCAATCTTTCTAAATTGGGACTTTAGTATTTCTTGATGCTTTAGTACCTCAAATTGACATTTTAGTTTTTTAAATTGATGCTTTAGTCTCTGAAATTGACACTTTAGTCTCTCAAAATTTCGCTTTATTCTCTGAAATTGACATTTTAGTCTCTTTTGACGGTGATAATGATAAGTATGCACTGTTCCATTGACGTTTTTGCGTATAATAATAATTCCAAAGAGTATTTATTGATATAATTTCGTACAATAGGTGGTAGCCTTGACACACACGCTGATGAAGCATAGCGAGTTAACCAAAGTGGAACGCGTCATGGTCGTGTGTCCCATCAATACGGTACTAAACTGGAAGGCTGAATATCAAAAATGGGTGCCAAAGAAATCGGAACTCGAAGTATACGAATTGGCGACGTCCAAAAAGAATTACGAACGGCAACACATCGTTAAAGAATGGTTCGAAGACGGTGGCATTTTAATAATCGGTTACACCATGTTTAGGAACCTCAGTAATCCTGCTAACAAAAGACTTACCAAGAAAATGCGTACCGATTTACATAATGGTTTAGTCGATCCAGGTAAATATACTATATAAGCAAGTTCGTGCTTTAAATTTGTATTTTTTAATTTTTTTTTTTAAACAATCCTGGTGTCTATATAATATATTAATTGTTTATTTGGCCAAGAATAATTAATTTACACACTTCACATTTCCAATAAAAATACATAAGTATGTAGTTAACGTACATTTAAAAATATGATTTTTCTCGATGGTTCGTTACTCTAAACATCCATTTATGTTACTAGTTTTGTTATTGTTATACTTTATACAATATAAAAACCAATGCACGTCATTGATTACGTAATAAATTTTAGACCGTCACAGCTCCACAGCGTTGCCAAATTTTGAAAATAATTGGGGAATATTTGAAAGTTCTGACAATTCTAGCTATAGAAAAGAAAAGCAGCTGTAGCTCGTAATGTTAACCAATAAGAAATACCAGTCAGTAGTATGTTCTATTTATAAGCATAAATCTATTAAGAACATCAGTTGAGTAAGGTTTTTAAAAAATAATATCAAAATTTGCTTTATGGGATTATATTAATATAGCATTATTATGATGTTGCAGTTATTTTAACTACCCAAACAATATTTGGGTATCAAAAAATTAAAACAAATATTTTTCAAAACATAAGGACTTTTATTTTACAGTTTGTTAGTTATATAAAATTCCTATACAAATAACAAAGTAAATATTAAACAAATAAAAAAAGGTAAACTAAAGAATACAATTATTATTACAGTACAGTACTGCAATCAATTGTATTATTAGTGTGTATTTTCTAATAAATAGCTCAAATTTAAATCTTTTTTCTACTGCGGGCATAAAAGTTACGAGCTGTTCATTGATTTCAATAGTTACTTCAGCTCTAAAAAAACATTTAGTTATTCCAGCTAGGCTCTTTATGCAAATAGACGCTTCATGAACAGGAAATTTATTTTTATTTACTAATTCTTCATCAATCAGATTAATATCCGATCCAGTATCAAAGAGTACTTTGACTTTTTGACCATTTAAAAGTAAATACTCAAAATTATCTCCATTTGTTAGAGAATAACTAGAATAAATTTCAATATGTCTATTGTAATATTGCTTTGTAATGCCCCAAATAAGTTTAATTGGATTGAATATATAATGATAAGGAGGGAGGCGTAATACTTTGTATCCGTATTGTTCTGCTAGAAGAACAGCCATGTAAATTTTTGGTGGTTTATTTCTAAAAAAAACAAAAAAAAAAAAAGTAATTGAGAAATTACAGACGAAACAGATTTATTTTACTGACTGCAACAAGATTCAGAAGTTCCGCTTTAAACATAGCAAATGAAAATCGAATATTCTGATTTGTCAGCCACTTTTGTTTTTTAATCTTTGTCCAGCTAGCGTTTGGTATTTTATGTAATAATGTACTGTGATATAAAGCATTGTCCATTATGATTAAGGATGGTTCATTATGTTTTTTCTGTAACTGTTCTTCAAACCATTTTAAAAAATTCTCATTAATTTCACCATGATAATGCTTACTTTGTGACGCAAATATAGCCTCTGCTCCTTCAATGAACCCATTTTCATTTCCAGCATAGAGTATAATGTACCTGTAAATAAAAATTTCAATTATTCTAGTCATTATTTACGTAGCTCTTACCATAAATTTTTGTGGTTTTCACACTTTTTATTATTTTTATCTTGCCAAGAACGGTTTATAGTCTCATTTTTAAAAAGCCACGTCTCACCAATAAAAATAAACTGAAATAAACCCGTTTCCTTTTCTTTCATGTAATTTCTTTAAAATACAGCAGCATCGGAAAGTTCCATAAGCCCTCGCCTTAATCATCTTTTTTCCATTTAAAACCAATATCTTTTAATAAGGTGCATAATGACATGCGGCATCCATTAAACAATTCTTTTTCTTTAAATTTTTCTGATAAAGAATCCAAAGTTACGTGTTCGTCTGCAAACAAATATATAGGCATTTATAATTAGATGATATAAAATGAATAATCTACACTTATTAGTTTCATGTTGTAAATAACATCTTGAATTGTACTTGTATCTAGAGTTCTTGTATTAGTTACTTTCTTTATACGAAGATGCTTTTTTGTAGGCGATTTCAAAACGACATCATTCTTAGCTGCTTGAGAAATAGCACTTACAGTGGACAAATTTAAGTTAAGTGCTGCCGATACCCGCTAAAAAATGAGATTAGTTTGATGTTTCTAGACAATATCAGTAAAAACTTACTTCTCTAACAGCAGTTAATGGTAGTAAAGGACAATTGTTATCGCGTTCTTGTTCAAAATACTGTATCAATGAAGCTATGAGCTCCTTACATCGGCTATTTAATTTCTATGGCATTTTTAAACCTGCGAGGACCAAATAGCCAAAAATAATAACGAAATAACCAAAAATAATAAATAACTCAAAATATCTACAAATTGCAATTACAAGATACAATAAATATATGACAACATTGAACTTAAAATGACAGTTTATAAAAAAAAAATACCAACTTTACTGTGACAATACAATTGAAAACTCATAGGCGTAGGAATGAAATGTTATAGAATTAAACAATGGGTGCGTTCACCAGACGTCAGCAGTTAATTTTAAGCGCTAAACGGCTGGGTATTAACTAGGAATGTGCACGAGCTTGATCGAGCAGTCTCTGTTCTTGCTTGTTTTGCTCGAGCGTAGCTCCGAACAGTACGACCAGTCCGATGCACGAGCGGCTCCTGTATAATATTCGGCTCGAGCGCCTCGCGTATCGGCTCGGCTCGAGCCTCGAACGATCCGAGTGTTCCGTACTCCGAATCATTCGAACTCTCGGTAATGAACTTATCATCGAGTAATTTTTCCATACCTAGTTGCATAGTATTTAATAAAATTAATAAAACCTCGATCGTCCCTTAGTGTGACTCTGTAAAGGCAGCCTCGTCAGAGAGATCACGTGTACAAGGTGTGATAATGTTTTCGATCACTCCATTGCTTAGATGTGTGGTAAATCTACTTTATAAATATGTTTTGTTTTATTTACTTTTCTATTCTCTTTAACTCATTTTCTCTATCTCCCTCTAATTGTATGAAACCTTTAATCATATCTACGCTGAACGTAGAGAATTCAAAGTATTGTTTTTTTTTCTAGAAGAAACCGCTTTTTTGTCACTATTTTATTTCGCCGATGTTGGGCATTTTTACGAATAAAATCAGTTTAGTTTAAGTCTCGTTTTATTAAACATCAATTACTTCATTTGGCGACAGGAAAATCGGTAATAAAACAATAAGTTCGAATATGTCGGTCGGTAAAATAAATGAGTTTCAACCGGGGAAAAGTTGGAAAACTTACATAGCTCGGTTAGAACAATATTTTATAGCAAACAAAATTGTAAGTGAATTAAAAGTGCCTACCTTAATAACAGTAGTCGGCGATGCCACATATGAATTAATGGTAGATTTATGTAGTCCGGAAAATCCAGAAGATAAACCTTATGAGGTTTTGGTAAAAATAGTTAAAAGCCATTTGGAACCCGATCCGTCTGTAATAGCCGAAAGACATAAATTCAGAATAAGAAGACAGGAGCAAAATGAAACTATTTCAGATTATAGTGCAACTCTTAAAAATTTAGCAAAATCTTGCGATTTCAAAGACACCCTTGAAGAAAATCTTCGTGACCAGTTTGTTTCTGGATTATACAATGAAACAATTAAACAGCGTCTTTTTTCTGAGAAATTTATAAATTACGCAAGAGCCTTTGAAATAGCTAGAAATATGGAAGCCGCTGAAAAGCAAGTTAGTCAGGTGGAGTGTTCTCAAATTAATAGAATTCAAAAAGAAGGAACTCATCACAATCGTCAGAAAGGCACTTATGGTGCTCATTACAGTGGACAATTCAACAGGGGTAGAGCTCATCGGGGCGCAAGAAACCATCAGGAGTGTCTAGTATGTGGTAAAAAAAAATGGTGAGTGTTACTTTAATTTTTCATTTTGCAATAATTGTGGAAAAAAAGGACACATCCGGTCAGTTTGTAAACAGAAATATCTTGTCAATGCAAACAAAAATCAAAATTTCTACATGGGCAATAACGAGGCGCAGATCAACGAAATTGGAAATTTAAATTTAAACAAAAGTGATTCAGACTGTGATTGTTCTGTTAATTTATATAATATTATAAGCAATGAAAAGAATAATTATTGTTCTCCTATTAAATTAAATATTCAAATTGAGGGTATTAAATTGTTGATGGAAGTAGACACAGGGTCAGCTGTTTCGTTGATTTCAGAAAGTATTTACAGAAGAAATTTTTCTTATTTACCTCTGTCACCTACGAAACTAAGGTTAAATTCGTACACAGGGAATCGCATCAACACTCTGGGTTACATAATTCCTAAGATTACACATAATGAAATAAGTTTACCATTAAAGCTTTACATTGTTCCTAAAGGTGGTCCGTCTTTGCTGGGAAGGAAATGGCTTTCGGAATTAAAAATTAATATTATAAATAACATGGTTTGTAATAATATACAATCTAAAGATTTTTCTACACTCAAACAAAAATCACATAATATCGGGGACAATAGAATTAAGAAATTAATTTCTGAATATGATTGTATCTTTGAAAATAAACTAGGTAAATTTTCCAATTTTAAAGCTAGTTTACATTTAAAAGCAGGTGCGATACCGGTATTTTTTAAGGCTCGTTCGCTCGCAATAAATTTAAAAAATAAGGTAGAATGTGAATTAGACAATCTTGTAGCAACTGGGGTTTTGTCTCCTGTTGATTATAGTGAGTGGGCTAGCCCTATTGTACCTGTAATTAAAAAAAATGGTAATATCAGGATTTGTGGGGATTTTAAGAGGTCTGTGAATCCAAATTTGCAGATTAGTCAATACCCTCTTCCGAAAATTGAACAGATATTTGCAAATTTATCTGGAGGGGTACTTTTTACTAGACTCGATTTATCTCAAGCATTTTTACAAGTTGAATTAGACGAAGAATAAAAAAAATTGTTGCAATAAACACTACTAAAGGACTTTTTGTTTACAATCGATTACCATACGGAATTGCATCAAGTCCAAGTATATTTCAAAAAATTATGGACTCACTTTTTTCTAATTTAGAAGGAGTCAGCGTAGATATGATTAAAGGTTTCATACAATTAGAGGGAGATAGAGAAAATTAGTTAAAGAGAATAGAAAAGTAAATAAAACAAAACATATTTATAAAGTAGATTTATCACAAGATGGACCGAGTTTATGACTGGTTACTTATTCGAAATATCAAATAATTTTCATTTATTCGAATGAAAAAAATCCTACATACTGTAAACGTAAATGAAGTCAAAAACCTATTCTTATCACACTTATATTACGGGGACCAACACATTAATCACTTTTGACCACTAAATTTAATGTTGAATGATTCATTCAGAGTACGGAACGCTCGGATCATAAGAGACTCGAGCCGTACCGGTACGCGATGCGCTCTTATTGTTCGGAGCTGCGTTGTAGCGTGCTCGAGTTGCAATTTTTCGAGCTTGATCGCGAGCGCTCGAACTTTACAAGCTCGTGCACACCCCTAGTATTAACATCCGGCAGCAGATGGAAATTGGCTGAACGATCCGTTGACCATGAGTCTCTGTCTGTCACAGAACTGTCAGATTAGACTGCTGAACATAATCTTATAATTATTGGCTGATGCATCAGAAAACACCAAACTGTAGGTTAACAAATTTTCTGTATTAGTTTCCATATGCCGCGTTTGAGAATTCACATCGGATGCATTTTTTACATCTCGAGCGTTTTTTTTATCCACATCGGACACATCTGTCCCATTACATTTACGTATATTGAATCACGTGATCAAAGATTCACTACATCTCAGATGCATCCGATGTGGATTCTCATTTATTTCATTTAAAATCTTTATTCACCTTTTAAAAAATCTTTTTGTACAATACATAAAAACTACAACATGGTAAACCCTAGTGGTAAACCTCTGAGGCCTAAGACGGTTTCCCGCCTGTAATATGCCGTGCATTTTAGTCTTGATGTGATTAGCTATAAAATAGCCGCCCTTACTACTTACCTTGGGGTATTATTAAGGTATTTGGAAGGATATGAATCGGTAATTGTGTGTATAGGTAGATATGTCGTGTCTTAATTTCGTATTGTCCCCTGAAAAAGCTAGGAAAAAAACAGGATTGTCGTTTGTGGTATGAAGTCTTGTACTTGTCTGTGTTTTTTTGTCATAATTCACTGAGAGGGTGGACTATAAGCCGCCCGGAAGTGCCGCGATCGAGGAGCAAAAATCGCTCTCGCGCGCGCACAAGATAAATATATTCCTAAAGTAAGTAGATAACATCAAATATACAATCGTTTAGTTACCAATTACGTACCTTTAAACTATTTTTTATGACCTGTAAAAAATATTTAGTAATAAACTAAAAACAGTAAAAACGTATTTGTCAAATTTATTGAGGTTTTTGTTAAAAATTTAGTTAGAATTAAATGTCAGTGGAACCAAAATGACATCGAACCGAACTAGCGCATTGCTGCAGTAGAGGAAATACGTCATCGATGGCGTGCATTGGTTTTTATATTGCATGAAGTATACTTTTCCGGTGCTTTTAGGCTTAATAATAATATCAATAACTCAGTTAAATTTCATGTAAAATTGGCAAATCGGTTTACTAAGTTAATTTTTTTATTATTTCACATTCTTTCTAACACAGGCACATTGTTCTGCAAAATCTGGCAAATCTAGCGCGATTCTACTCCATTTAAAGCATTGCCGTATTTAAAAATGCCTCTTATATTAAGACAAATGAAGTATTTTTTTATGCCTCCTGAAAAATAAACCTATTCTGATTTAGGAGATTTTGATAGTAAGCCGATGAAATACGATTCTATTTGTTTTTGTTACACTTTTCGTGCTCGCTATAGCGTTAATATTAATTTCTATAGTCCAGGTAAATTTCGTATAAAATTGGCAAATACGATTCGAAATTTTATAGGACCGGATTTGGTGATTTGCGACGAGGGACATTTACTGAAAAACGAAAAAACTCACTTGAGCATCGCGATGAACAGGATAAAAACGATGCGCAGGATCGTCCTGACTGGTACTCCTTTACAAAACAATCTCAAAGAGTACTGGTGCATGGTGCAATTCATCAAACCGAATTTGCTCGGTACCTACAAAGAGTACATGAACAGATTCGTCAATCCCATCACTAACGGACAATATACGGACTCCACTCAGCACGATACCATTCTGATGAGGAAAAGATCTCACGTGCTGCACAAGTTACTCGACGGCGTCGTCCAACGTCGTGATTATGCGGTTTTGGAACCGTATTTACCCACTAAACACGAATTCGTTCTATTCGTCAAACTATCCGACACACAAATCAAGCTCTACAAGTACTACATGGAAAAACTGGCTAAAAAAAATGACGGTTCGAATCGAACTTCGTTCCTGTTCACCGATTTCCAACAATTGCAGCGCATCTGCACACACCCGCGTGTTTTGGCCGACAAGACCAAAGAGAAGAAGGAGAAATGGGACGACGAGGATGATGAGAGCGAAGGATCGTTGAAGGATTTCATCAACGACGACGAGGATTCCGCTTCGAAGTCATCTTCGAATAATTCGAGTTCAAACGAGAGCGACGTCAGTTCCGAGAGTGTGAAAAAGAAGAAGAAGGGCAGGACAAGGGTGACCAGAGCCGTGGCCGCTCAAAGTAAGTCAGATTTTTTTTATTTATTTGTATGAATTATAAGTATTTGGTTTAACTCCTGGAATACACAATTTTAAAGATATTGTAACGTTTGTTTATTTTAAACAACAGTTTATTTGTTAATAATTTATTTTAACCCTTTGTTGTCTGACGGTACTCCTAAGTACCGTCATTTTCGATCCTCAATATAATTACACGGAGAGGGCTTGGGTGCTTTATAGCTTGACGGTACGTGGACGTACCATGAATATTGCGATAGACAAGCTCGGCTTGAAACTGACCGTGCATCGTTGCTGACAGTTTAGTTGTCTTCCTACCGACGTATAGTGAGGGAGCATAAAAATAAAGTTGAGCCTTTTGTGTTATTGTTTTGTACTGTATATTGAAAAGTAAGTATATATTTTTGGTACATTGTAATGAAAGACGTTTTATAAATATAATCTTGCAAGTTTCATTTAACAATTTGATACCAAATGTTATAAAATTTAACTTTTCAATTCCAGAAGATATGAGGTTGGCTAACCGAGGAAATCATTGGCTAATCTATGAACAAACTAGAGGTCGGTGTGAAATGTGCAGTCGCAAAAATGTGCAATCTCGCCCACATTCCAAGTGCAACCTGTGCAATGTATATTTATGCTGCAACGAGAAAAAAACTGCATGGCAGAATACCATGAAATCAAGAACTAGTTCTTATTTTTTATTTGTTTTAATTATTTTTTAAAATTAAAAATACATATTTGCAAATCAAATTAAATTTGTGTGTCTAATCCATAATTTTGTTGTCAAATAAATGTTTGTAACTGCCTGACGGTACTTATTGGTACCTCGATTGGTACCGGTTATTAAAAAAAAACTGACAAAGAAAAAATTCAAAAAAATTAATTTGAGTATTTTTTATTCATATTGGATCAGCTGTTCACTAAAAATAGGTTTTTTTTTTGTTTTATTCTTAGTCCAGGCAACAAGGGGTTAAAACAGTACTATTCTAATTTATATATATATTTCGAATGTCTTTAAATTGTTCACTGTTTATCTTCACAACTCTTTGTATTCGACTGAACTGATCCGTGTTTTTTTACCAATATTTATAAATATACACATTGAAAATTTTGGTTGATTCCAGAATTCTCTCGCCAAACACTACAATCAGTATCATGTACGTTCTGGAAGGAAATCGAAAGTGCCCACACCAGTGGCGTTACATACGTTGGATCTTAAGGGGTTTAATTATGTTTTATAGTCGGATAAGTGGAGCCTCAAAGGCCAAAAAAATTACAGAGGGACTTGGAGGATTAGAAAATGACTGAAATAGTTGGAATATTACAATATTACTATTATTTTTTTTATGTCCAAAGAGAATAAGTGAATCTAGCTTTGGGTTAGCAAATATGTTAAATTTGCCAGTTTCATCAAAAAAGTATAATTATAATTTATATGGCGATATGGGGATAAAATATCTATCAAGTTATTCAGACATTATACAATAATTTTTTCAGTCATTTTACAATTTATGTTCCAGCTTCTTCAATGGGCTATTTAAATAATATTGAAACTTTAGGTCTTTAAGTGGTATCGAAGATTTTTGGGGTTTATTTGCGTTTTTCTAGGATAATAAACCTAGATCGTTTTTTCAGTCATTAAGAATTTACGTTTTTTTAGAGCAGTATCGCAGTTTTTAAGGTTTTATATTTTTTGAGGATCATAGATATTTTTATTCAGGCATCATATGTTTTTAGATATTATAAAAGTGTTTTTAGGTATTATCGGTGTTTTTAAGAGACTGCATGTTTTTTAGATGTCTAAAAGACAAGAAAGCCATCGATGACCCTGAAAAACGTAACTAAAGCTTTTTTTCAGGGTTTATCTGTTTTGCAGACATAATCGAAGTTTTTCAGACATTTTCAAGATTTTTAAGAGGGTATTGGTTTTCTAGAAGTCTAATTTCCATTTTTTAAACAGTATCAAAGTTTTTTTCGGGGCTATATGCTTTTCAAGCTTATTCTATTATTTTTTTTTTCAGGCATGTTTTTCAGGCACTATCTGTGTGTTTTCTAAAATATTATAGTTTTTTTTCAAAGCTTTATTTACGTTTTTCAAGGGTCATCGATGGTTTTTTGTCTTTTAGACACTATCGCAATTTTTCAGGTATTATCAGGGTTCATAGATAATATAAGGAACCTCAAGTCACTATTCGTACATTTTTAATCAGTGACCTTTGTTTTAGGGTTTATTTGGATTTTTGATGTATTTTTCAAAGCATTATCTATGTTTTTCGGAAAAAACATCATGTTTTATTCAAATATTATCCATTTTTTAAGAGATTACGTTTTTCAAAGCTTACGTTTTTAAGCGATATTGCAGTTTTTTAGAACTTAGCAGTCACTGATGTTTTTTTTCAGGGTTTATTTGTTTTGCACACATAACGAAGTTTTTCAGATATCAAAATTCTCTAGAAGCCTAATTTACATTTTTTAAACAGTATCAATTTTTTTTTTGGTCTATATGCTTTTCAAGCTTATTCGATTGGTTTTTTAGGCGTGTTTTTGAGGCACTACTATCCTTGTGTTTCAAATAGGGTATAGGTTTTTTTCAAAGACTTATTTACGTTTTTCAAGGGTCATCGATGGTTATTTCCGGTATTATCTATGTCTTTTAGATACCGTCGCGATTTTTCAGGTATTATCAGGGTTAATAGATAATATAGGGAATCTCAAGTCACTATTCGTACATTTTTAATCAGTGACCTTTGTTTTAGGGTTTATTTGGATTTTTTGATGTATTTTTCAAAGCATTATCTATGTTTTTCGGAAAAAAACATCCTGGTTTTTCAAATATTATCGATTTTTAAGAGAGTACGTTTTTCAAAGCATACGTTTTTAAGCGATATTGCAGTTTTTTAGAACTTAGCAGTCACTTATGTTTTTTTTTTAGGGTTTATCTGTTTTGCAGACATAATCGAAGTTTTTCAGACATTATCAAGATTTTTAAGAGAGTATTGGTATTCTAGAAGTCTAATTTACATTTTTTAAATAGTAAAGTATTTTTGTGTTTATATGCTTTTCAGGTTTTTTCAATTGTTTTTTTAGGCATGTTTTTCAGGCACTATGCGTATGTTTCAAAAATATAGTTTTTTCAGAGCTTTATTTACGTTTTTCAAGGGCCATCGATGTTTTTTTCCGGTATTATCTATGTCTTTTAGACACTATTGCGTTTTTTTAGGTATTATCAGGGTTCATAGATAATATAGGGAATCTCAAGTCCCTATTCGTACATTTTTAATCAGTGACCTTTCTTTTAGGTTTTATTTGGATTTTTTGATGGATTTTTCAAAGCATTATCTATGTTTTTTAAAAAAAATTATCGTGGTTTTTCAGATATTATTGATTCTTTAAAAGACTATACGTTTTTCAAAGTTTCATTTACATTTTTAAGCGATAATGCAATTTTTTAGGATTTAGCATGTTTTGTTTCAGAGTTTATCTGTTTTGCAGACATAAACGAAGTTTTTCAGACATTATCGGTGTTTTTAACAGAACATTAGTTTGCTAGAAGCCTAATTTAGATTTTTTATACAGTATCAAAGTGTTTTTGGGTCTATGGGCCATTCGCACCGCTTTTACTTAGCATCTAAGTGACACTTAAGAAGGCATAACCGTTTGCACCGTTATTAAAGTTCCACTTATCAAGGCGTTAAGAATCACTTTACTAAGCCCAGAAATTTTTCAGCTTAAACCATTACTTAACCTTAAAATGTTTAATTTTTATAATTTTGAGTGATGTTGACTGTCATTGTGTCATTGATTTATTAAAATTTGTAAAATTGCAATACACAAAAGGGGCGTTTGATTTGAAACTCTATCGAGCGAGCATCGAGGAGACCGAGAAGTGATGACGTCACAATAGAGCATTGAATCAAATCAAATAAAACAGAGTAAAAAACATAACCTCGCTATTCTGTTATTTTTGTTTCTGGTTTGTGTGTTAAAATAGTGAGCAAAAAGAAAAGAAAATGGAAAAACTTTAAATAAAAAGGGGTAATGGCCCTGAAATGCAGCATATACCACAAATGCCCGCTTCGCTCTCATACTCCATGGCTGTGATTACTGGTGATTAGATCTGGACAGAGAAAATGTATTTTACAAACACACATTTTGTGTTTTTTATGACGAATAATTTTAGCTATAAGACAAAAGCGGCTAAGTAATTTGTTGACTTCTTGTCTGGTCTTTAATTTTGAGATTCAAATTTGTTTGTTAGTTAAAAAGAGATAGGTAGAGACAAAGACAAATTTCTCCCTCTTCTCGATCCTTCAGCTCTGAGAACATCGAGCTCGCTCTATGTTCTCGCTCCACAGCAAAACAAACACTTTAGGGATCTCTCGGAGTGTCAATTCAAACACGATTGCAGCGCTCGGAGATCTCCGATGATCAAATCAAACGCACCAAAAATGGAAATAATGGAAGATGATGAGGCTTTGAAAATGCTTGATTTCATTAATATAAGATACCACGATGAATATAAAATAATATATACAAAAAACGATTACTTTTACACTGCAATTAGAATTGGCCGAAGAAAATTCTTAATTGCCTTGATGAAATTAAAGCAAATTTATAGTATTCTTATAATAAATATGTAGGTTTCAAACTCAAATATTTTTACAGACAACACAATTATAACCATTTTTATAAAAAGTGTTTTTTTGTGAATCTTTTTTGTAAAATTAGCATCTTTCAACGTTAGTATGATTTCTATAATTTTTTTAGTATTAACTAATTGAATTAATACTAATTTTACTCTCATTATGGCTGTACTTCGTGCTCTATTTTATTACTTCTTAGTTCATCTATTTTTTTTTATTAGTCCTGTGACACAAAAGAGAGTTTTTTCTCTTCTGCGCCTGTGACAATCATAACTTTTGCTGCGTTCAGTGAGACATAACAATACCAACCGATACCAATTCGCTTTCGTTCTACGATACGTATTGCTTTATATCGATCCGTATCATTTGGGAGCGTTTCATTTTTGCGCTAGTTTCTGCTTCTATCAAGAAAGATGAGCGGGAAACCTCTTAAAATCAACCTAAAACGCCTAAAACCAATCGCTATTTACGATTGCTAGAAGAACAACCTGGTTGTGCATTCATTAATGTGATAAAAATAATAAAAAAAAAATACTTAAATTATTGTAAATTGTTGATGAAAACTCCAAGTGGTAAATAAACAAATTCACTTTCAATTGCAAATGCTACGTTTCATTAAATTAGAATTATCGTTCGACACAAATTTAATTTTTGTAAATTGAGCGTACCGTTCAGTAAGCTGATCCCGCTACCCCAATCACAGCAAGAATCCTATACACTCATTGAACGCAGCTTTCACATTAAACATTCAAAATAAAATTCAAATTTGACATTATTTCTTCTTTTTTTAGAAAAATCTTGACGTTGCCAAATCAATCCGACACTTAATTAATCGTTGCATTCTAATAGGGACCGTGCGTCATGACTTTAACGCTAACTGGTGACAAAAATGTGAACTTTTTGGGGGGTATTTATTAATGTTTTATACGGCATTTATTGTTTAATAATTATTAATAAAATAGAGTCGAATTATTTTCGTAATATCAATATCGAAAAAACTTGTTGCATCCGTGGATGTACAAACACATCACTTTAGAAACCTGGATTTCATTCGATAGTAAAGAAATGTTATAAATTTCCACAGAGCACAATTATGCCTCACACCCAATGATATACATAATTACAAAGATTGCTTATCCTTATGTAAATCAGACGACGAAAAGCGTATTTCACTGGGCAAAGTTTTCTTTTTATCTAGTTTGTATCAATTTTGAGCACTTAGTTGTAAAGAAATCATTTACAGAAAAATTAGAATCTTTAGTGTTTTCTTGTCATTAAGATTTTTACATATTTAAATGACCATTTTATATAAATATACTTTTACAGATAATGGTTTATTCTGTTGATTAAAACTAATGTAGAATGTTATGAAATAAGAATATCCAATTTGACAAAAATATCACGGCCCTCTTTACAATTTATTAACTATTTCTCATTTATTATTAAAATAAACAAATCATAAATTGCTGCGTTTGAGAATCCACATCGGATGCATCTGAGATGTAAAAAATCTTTGATCACATGATTCAGTATACGTAAATTGCTGCGTTTGAGAATCCACATCGGATGCATCAGGAGATGTAAAAAATCTTTGATCACGTGATTCAGTATACGTAAATGTAATGGGACAGATGTGTCCGATGTGGATAAAAAAACGCTCGAGATGTAAAAAATGCATCCGATGTGGATTCTCAAACGCAGCAAATGTAATGGGACAGATGTGTCCGATGTGGATAAAAAAACGCTCGAGATGTAAAAAATGCATCCGATGTGGATTCTCAAACGCAGCAAATAATACATTGCAATTACTGTCAAAAGAGATTGTAACAAACTTTAAAATATTAAAAATCCAGTGATTTTTTGTAAATTTTTTTAGTGACATTACCATTAAACATTATTCAGAATAATAGATAAGTGTCCAATTACAACTCTTACCAAAGTTGTTCATACCTCATATCAAAATTGTTTACATTACCTTTTCAAAATTGTATTACATATTGCAATTATGTATTTTATGTAGAATTGTTTCTGAAATAGTAGTCTAAAATTATTTATATCCATCTGTTATAAAAATTGTTTAGATCTCTTAATATTATTTAACTACATGAAAACTCAACTTTCCAAATACATAATGACATGTCTTGAAGTAAAACTTTAATTATTATCTTTTTCTAAAGATTAAAATGCTGAAATTTTATTTTAACACATTTGGGCTAGAACGGCTCTATTTAGTGAGCACTAGGAAAGGCACAGTGCAACCAGCTTTTCATAATTTTTTTATAGTTGGGTGAGCAATCTATAATATATGTATCATTGAACATCTCATAAACGCCAGTGGATGAATGACATTTCGATTAACATAAAGCTAAAAAGATTTATAATTATTATTATCAATCTTTTTTATTAATTTACATTTTTTAAATGTTATTGTAATACTTTTAAATTCAGTGTTACTAAATACCTATATTTTAACATTGGATACACTTGTTTAAGGTACAACTTTACAATTTATTGTCACTTAGCCATTTAAATCTTTTTGCTTAAAATGTATATGCATGTCCAGATTTTAATAATGTTTCACATTTTACGTCATTTTGACCATGTACACGATTGTTTGGTACGGGCCGGTATCTATTTTTAACTATATTTAATATTTAAAAAAATACCCTTCATTATTTACTTGCAATGTTTACCCCATTTAATTCTAAAATTAAACACTAGAGAGGGCTAAGTTCGGCAGTAGTGCTGCCTCTATATTTCACGCACGGTCCCTATAGGCTGGTGCGAATTAAACTACGATAAGTAATACTTAAATAATAAGTTTCACTTTACTAAGGGGAAATTTATTCTGAAGCGGTGCGAATGGCCCTATATGCTTTTCAAGCTTATTTTATTGTTTTTTTTTTCAGGCATGTTTTTTAGGCACTATCTGTATGTTTCAAAAATAGTATAGTTTTTTTAAAGCTTTACGTTTTTCAAGAGTCATCGATGGTTTTTTTCCGGTATTGTTTATTTATGTCTTTTAGACACTATCGTTATTTTTCAGGTATTATCGGGGTTCATAGCTAGTATAGGGAATCTCAAGTTCCTATTCTTATATTTTTAATCAGTGACCTTTGTTTCAAGGTTTATTTGGATATTTCCATGGATTTTTCAAAGCATTATCTATGTTTTTTGGAAAAAAATGTGTTTTTCAGATATTATCTATTTTTTAAGAGAGTATTCGTTTTTCAAAGCACCACTTACATTTTTAAGCGATACTGCAGTTTTTTAGAACTTAGCAAGAGTTACTAATGTTTTTTTTAGGATTTATCTATTTTGCAGACATAATCGAAGTTTTTGAGACATTATCGGTGTTTTTAAGAGAGTATTGATTTTCTAGAAGCCTGATTTAAATTTTTTAAACAGTATCAAAGTTTTTTTTTTCATTCATTCGTTCATTCATTATATGTTTTTCAGGTACTATCCATGTGTGTCTAAGAGAGTATAGGTTTTTTAGCAGTATCGTACTTTGTCAAGGTTTATTTAAGTTTTTCAAGCACCATCAAATGTTTTTTCAAGCATATGTTTTCCAGGTAATATCTGTTAGTTTTATTTACCTGTTTTTAAGGCAATATCGCATTTTTTTAGGGTCTATGTAACTTTTTTAAGGGTCATTGATAGTTTTTTCAGGCATAATTTGATTTTCAGAGATTGTCTAGGTTTTTTTTTGATATTGATATTTTTTAAGAGACTATGCTTTCTTAAAACTTTATATACGTTTTTAAGCAATATCGTAGGCTTTCAAGGTTTATTGAAGTTTTTCAAGAGCTATCGATTTTCTTTTCAGGTCTGTTTTTCAGGTAATATCTATGTATTTCAAAGACAGTTTTTTAGGGTCTATTTAACTTTTTCAAGGGTCATTGATAGTTTTTTTTTTTAGGCATAATCTGATTTTTAGAGATTGTCTAGGGTTTTTAAATATCGATATTTTTTAAGAGACTTTATTTAAGCTTTATATACTTTTTTTAACAGTTTCCCATTTTTTGGTTTTTATTTAATTTTACGAGGGTTTTTTTTTATCAGATTTAATCTATGTTTTTCGATGTTTTAAGAAAGTATATGTTTTCACAAAGGTTTTTTAAATATTTTGTTTTGTTGGCTTCATTTTTACCAACGATATACTTTTTTTAGGAAAAGAAAATAACGAAGAGGACGACAGTGATATAGAGATGATAGCGGAAGTGAAGAAGGAGTGGTGGCAGGAATTTTGCGACGGCGACGAGTTAGATAACATCGACAACAGCGGTAAATTGTCTTTGTTGTTCGCGATACTGAAAGAGTGCGAGGAAATCGGGGACAAAGTGTTGGTGTTCTCGCAGTCTTTGTATACATTGAATTGCATCGAATATTTCCTTGGTAAAGTCGATGAAGCTACTTCAAACAATGAAACTGAGAAATTGAGAGGGTACAATGGTATGTAATTTTTTTTTATTATTTTTTGTGCATATTAAGCATCATATTTATTTATTTTTTTATATTTTTATTTATTTGTATTTTACTAATTTGTTCTTATTTTCTTAGGCTATATTTTCTTATATGTAGTTAGTTTTTGATAAAAATCGTCTATTTTGTTTCATCTAAGAAATATATAACAATGATCGATACAATTCAGTAATTTTTTTGTTGAATATTTAAGTAAATAATTTTATAAAATTGGTAAATAATATTTTATTTATAGTATTATTTAATTTCATAACCGAACTAAAAGAGGCGAAAAAAATAAAAAGTACCGTATTTGGCGTAAAAATTAAATTTTTTGGCAATTTTGAACAATTTTCCAATTTTTCGTAAAATTTTCCTGGTCTATTTTTTTTTTAATTTTAAAATAATAATTTAGGAAACTTACGCAAGTATAATTTAAAATAACGAAAAATAATGAATGATATATTAAAATACTGGATAAAAATATTGACATTTTTATCACAACTTCAGTTGCTTTCTTCATTGCTATTACTTGAAGCAGCTCAATAATATATGAATACGTTGCCTGTTGTTTATTCTGTAAATTGATGTGACTCTTAAGATTTCTGGATTAAAACGGCCCTTTTGGAAAAAGTAGGATAAATTGGGTAAGCACGTAGTCTGTCTATTCTGGATTATTTTTTCCTGCTAAGACGGAAGTTGTTTGTTCCAAAAAATATATTTTGATGAAAACAGCTCTTGGAAAAAAAATGTTAAATCGGGTGACCGTGGCGTTCGATCCATAAACATACACAATTATTTTCTTAAAGTTTCCGTCGTTCTTAGGTACTTGGGAGCTCGGCTTGGATTACTTCCGCTTGGACGGTTCGTCGAGTTGCGACAACAGAGCCTACTGGTGCGACTCGTTCAACAACCCCGAGAACGAGAGGGCGCGCTTGTTCCTGATATCGACCCGAGCCGGCGGTTTGGGCATCAATTTGGTAGCCGCCAATCGCGTGATCATATTCGACGTGTCTTGGAACCCGTCGCACGATCTCCAGAGTATCTACAGGGTGTACAGGTTCGGCCAGACGAAGCCGTGCTATATTTATCGGTTCGTCACCTACGGGGCGATGGAGATGAAGATTTACGAGCGGCAGGTGACGAAGCAGGCGATTTCAAAGAGGGTGATCGACGAACAGCAAATCGATAGGCATTACAATCAGAACGATTTGCAGGAGTTGTACCAGTGCGATTTGGATCCGGAAGATAGACCTATACCGTTGGTGCCTAAGGTAGGGATTCCTATTATTTAAATAATTATATTTTTTTCTCTAAGTCCAAGCAATCATTTTATTAACTCGAAATCTACATTTTTTAGTAGTTTAAACTTTTCTTTAGGTCTCATAAAAGTTCTCATAGATATTTCAAGACCTGTAGCATATTTTCTGCAGAATACGTAAATTTACTAATTTTTCTCTCTTCCATTTTTATGACGGCCTCGGTCTAGCACGACTGAGAAGTTGCAGCATTGTTCTCAAGAGTATTCTGCACTGACTCCTTTACTTTTATGGCTGACTAATCTAATTTTATCATAATTAGTTTTGATAGGCAAACGATTTCATTTGAATTTAATTTTCTTAAACTTTCTAATCGATATTTTAATTTTCCCATTCATTAAAGGACGTGTTACTTGGCGAGATGCTACAAAAATACGACAAGATCATATACAAATACCACTTACATCAATCGCTGTTGGAGAACAAGAGTGAAGAGGGTCTGAACGAGGAGGAACGCAAAGCAGCTTGGGACGAGTTCGAGAACGAGAAAGTGTTGCGAAAGACCTCGCTGACGGCGTCCTCGTACTTGGTCAACTCGGCCAATATGAGCGCTCAGGCCATAAACGCGGCTCTCACCAACATCGTCAAACGGGACAATCCTAATTGGTCGGAGGCTCAAATTAAGGGTATCATTCCGGCGTTGGTGCGCCAGTTGCAAATTCAGATAGAGGAGAACGATATGTCGGTAAGTTTCTTGGTCCGTAGCTAGTTTGTTAATATTACAATATTTAGTAAAAGTTAAAACATAAATAATATAAATACAATTACAATTAACTAACTCTATAGGTTATTACCCGTTAATTAAATAATTTGTGATTTGGACTTTAAACGTTATTTATTTATTTGTTTATTGTACTTCATACAATATAAAAACCAATGCACGTCATCGATGACGTAATAAATTTTAGACCGTCACAGTTCCACACCGTTTCAAAATTTTGAAAACAATTGTAGCTACAGAAAAGACAAGCAGCTGTAAATCGTTGTGATGTTAGCCAATAAGAAATACCAGTCAGTAGTATGTTCTATGTATCGTACCATTTTAAGATTTCTTTTTCTGTATGGCTGATACTTTTTTCCAAATTTGTGGTGTTATGGTCCGGAGTGCTTCTGACCACATATTTAAACAATCTTCTTTTTTTACCATCTCGACCAATATGTCTATGGTAATATTGCTTTGTAATGCCCCAAATAAGTTCAGTTGGTTTGAATATACAATGATAAGGAGAAGGGCGTAATACTGTATGTCCGTATTGTTCTGCTAGAAGATCACCCATGTACATTTTTGGAGGTTTATTTCTAAAAAAAAAGTAATTGAGAAATTACAGACGAAACAGATTTCTTTTACTGACTGTGCAACAAGATTCCGTAGTTCCGCTTTAAACATAGCAAACGAAAATCTAATATTCTGATTTTTCTGCCACTCTTGCATTTTAATCTTTGTTCAGCTAGCGTTTGGTGTTTTATGTAACAATATACTGTGATATGAAGCATTGTATATTATGATTGAAGATGGTTCATTAATAGTGCATTCGACTGGTCGCACTGGTGCGTATTTCAAAATTTTTAAGTGCCATATATTCGACTGACAGAACTGAACCAATTATTGCATTCAACTGGCATTGCTCAGCACATGGCTAGAGTAAAAGTTTTGTTCGACTGGAAGAAGCGCTTGCTCAAAGTTAAAACTTTTGGAACTGTACTTTTTTTCAGGGCCAGCCAGTGTCGATTTAGAAATTAGGTTTCATTTTCAATTTTTTAAATAAGTTACCATTGTCTTTATTACTATCCAGTAGTAGTGACGATGAAGATATTAATGATATTATCTTGAAAACAAATCTCACAAAATTTTTAGGATAAATTGAAATTGTGGGAATATATTCTGAAAAAAAGAAAAATTTAATTTATTACTTTTAAATAAATAAAGGTTCAAAACTTTTCACATTTTAAAATAAACTTCAGGACGAACAAAAATTCATAGTGGAAGTCCACCCTTAAGTGCATAACTAGCTACCTCTTTAAAAACATATTAAATTAGTTTATAAATTAAAAATGTCAAGTGTACCAGTCGAATATAGATAAAGTGACGAACTAGTTCACACTACGAGTGTGCATTGCTCGATATAATTTCGAATGATTAAAATGCTGCCTGAAAAGAGTGCAGAACTAAAATCGCTCTGACATCGAGCAAGCGCGTTCTAGTCAAATGTGTTATACATTTTTTCAGTAACTGTTTTTCAAACCATTTTAAAAAATTCTCATTATTCATTTCACCATAATACTCTCAGCTTACTTTGTGACGCAAATATAGCCTCTGCTCCTTCAATGAATCCAATTTCATTTCCAGCATTGAGTATAATGTATCTATAAATTAAAATTTCAACTGAAGCATGTAGCTATATTTTAGTAATTATTTACATACCTTTTACTATCAACTTTTGTGATTTTCACACTTTTATTTTTATTTTGCCAAGAACGGTTTATAGTCCCATTTTGAAATATCCACGTCTTATTAATAAAAACAAATTGAAATAAGCCTGTTTCCTTTTCTTTAATGTAATTTCTTAAAAATACAACCCGTTTCACAGCAACATCGGAAAGTTCCATAAGCCCTCGCCTTGGATCACCTTTTTTCCATTTAAAACCAATATCTTTTAATAAGGTGCATAATGATATAGGGCATCCATTAAACAATTCTTTTTCTTTCAATTTTTCTAATAAAGAATCCAAAGTTACCTGTTCTTCTGCCAACAAATATATAGGTATTTATAATTAGATGATATAAAATGAATAATCTACACTTACTAGCTTCATACATGTTGTAAATAACATCTCGAATTTTTCTTGTATCTAGAGTTCTTGTATTAGTTACTTTGTCTGAACGAAGACGCTTTTTTGGGGCGATTTCAAAACGACATCATTCTTAGCTGCTTGAGAAATAGCACTTACAGTGGACAAATTTAAGTGTTGCCGATACACGTTAAAAAATTAAATTAGTTTGATGTTTCTAGACAATATAAGTAAAAAACTTACTTCTCTAACAGCAGTTAAAGGTAGTAAAGGATCATTGTTATCGCGTTCGTGTTCAAAATACTGTATCAATGAAGCTATGAGCTCCTTACATCGGCTATTTAATTTCTTTAGCATTTTTAAACCTGCGAGGAAGACAGTATGGTTGTTCTTAAAAGAATAGTTTTTTATAACTAAAAATAATGACCAAATAACCAAAAATAATAACAAAACGACCAAAAATAATAACGAAATAACCAAAAATAATAAATAACAAATTGCAATTACAATTAAAATGACAGTTTCTAAAAAAAACTTTATTATAAACTTAGCTGTCACTATACAATTGAAAACTTATAGGCGTAGGAATTCAATGTTATAGAATTAAAATATAACAACGTGATTTAACCATAATAAGGATAATAAAAACAATTTCATACTTGTAATAGTTTATCTTTATTGCAACAAATAAGAAAAATAAGTAAATGAATATTTAGCGTCATGATATGATAGAAAATAAATTACGAACGGGTAATCTCTAAAAAAATACGCACGCCAATTCAACTAGTGTTTAATCAGACCTTCAAATCGTAATGTTTCATTTGTTGGTATTACTACAGTAGAGGAAATACGTTATCGATGACGTGCATTGGTTTTTATATTGTATGAAGTATATACGAAAAAACCCCATTATAGAAAAAATAAAAATAATATACAATACAATTGAAAAATATACAGTGTCTAGCCAAGGGGGTCCGGCAGCTATAAGAAAAATAGATTACAATATGTGAGGGGAGGGCCCTTGCCAGTGTTTTGCCTCGGGGCCCATCATGGCTCTCGGCGGCCCTGAATAGGTTTAACCAAAACTTAGGATTCAAAGCTTTGAGAAAAAAACAAGTCTAAGAGAACATTATTTTGATTCCTAATATAAGTCACCTGTTTAAAGTTTATAAAATGAGAAAGTTCCATATTGTTTTTGCTGGATAGTTGGCTGGACAATCGATAACATGCCATGGTCTTCTGAAACCATGTCATATGTCCAATCAGCATGTGGTAGGTTGTAATCACTAGGGTGATCATTTCCGCAAAGTTTTTTTTTGTGCTCAAGCAAAATATTAATCTACATATATATATATAAAAAAAAAAAATTGAGCTTTTCATGTCAATTTTAAGTATTTATTAAATTTAAAGTTTTACCATTTAAAATGCATGCATGCAAATCGATTTGATGGGCCATGTGGGGAATTTCATGCTCTTCGAAATTGCTTCAGAGTTTTTTATGTAACTTGCACTGTTTCACCAGTAGGAGTCGTCAAAGTACAGTTTAAAAAAAAAGTTTTTAAATTTTTTCCAGTAAACCGCCAAAAGTAGGGAGAAAAAAGGGCTTTTTTAAAAAAAGTTGTCCGACCAATATTTAATGAACTTGAACTCCCATTTAATTTTTCTTAGAACATGTTTTCAATATACAACAGCGTTATGCGCCCTTATGTATTGGATCTAGGTTTGGATATTGGGGCCATACAAATTTATTCTCTCAATTTTATCTCTACGTTGTTACTTTCTATTTTTATTACCCTTCCAATAAAATACTGCTCTTTATAGTATATAGCATAATAATATTCTGATTTAATGTCAATATTATTAAGTTAATGTTTAGATGTATCTGGATATTCATTGTTTTCGTCAGATGCAAACATTTCTGATTCATCTGAAGTTTCATCATACACAATTGATTCATCTTTCAATGTTGAAGTGTTTTCATTTAAAGGTCTCTTTTTTGATAGATTTTTATTTTTGTATTCTTTACTATAGCCTTTTCGATTTTCTGCGATCTTTTTTTTTGTTTATTTCCTGTTTTCGCTTTTCTTTTTCTTGATCTTTTTGTAATTTTTTCCTGTTCTTTTTTGGCATTGAAAGAGATTTCTGTTGGCTTTTCTATATGAAACTGCCTGTTCAACAGTACAGGTCCACCACTCTTTATATCTTGGCTAAATTTTTATTAATTTTTTAGGAGCCTACTTCATTATAGAAACATTGATATTTTCTATTTATATCGGTTTCCCAAAAATTCCAAGTAACAGCTTCTAATTTCTGATTAATTGCAGAATAGTCTATCTTTCGGCCTCTACTTTTAATTGTTTGTGTTACCACTTTAGATTTGTTTTAGTTTAACATATTGTAGTGTAACCAACTGAAATAAAGAGAGACAACTTAACTAATATCTCTCTCTCTTTTATAAAAGTATGATAAATAAAGTGGCGGCGTGATCGACTATGAAGTGACTAGGACACCACGAGTGACAGACTGAAAGATTCGTTATCTATTGGCTACTTACGTGTTATTGAGGGAGTGGTAAAGGTTAAAAGAAAATATCTATTGGTTTATATCTAATCTTTATTGAAAATATTATAGATGACAGAATCAGAAAGTAAAAATTTATAAGTATATAAAATATATTTATAAAGATTAAATATAGGTCTGGTTCGGTGCAATAAAAAAAATAATTAATTTATCAAATGAGGGGAAAGAACCAGCAAGAAAACCCCAAAGTTATAATAAATACAATAAAACCAATCAAACGTCAATTTGGATACAAATGACAAATTAAGTATATATATAAAAAAACACATTTAATTACTTGATTATTTAGTTAAACACAGAAAAATATATGAAATAATAGTCGATTTGAGTTAAACACAGGAAAACATGAAATAATATTCAATACATTATATAAAAAAAACAATATTTAATACTGCAAGGCAAAAATAAAATAAATATTTTAAGAACAATAACTCATCAGATAACAAACATTGAGCATTACTAGGTTCAAACACACTCGATGCAAAACTGAAGAAGGGTTAATAGGGACAAGGTAATGGGGAAGCTCTACAGCTTTACTACCCACCTAGAGTTGAATATTCTGGTGACAAAATAGGGTAAGTTACCGAGACACCTATCCCGATGTTGTCCCAGCCACGGGCGAAAATGTTAGTATCAATCAACAAGGCATTTTATACTTTTAACTTAGATCTGCCAATGCTGTGAATATCTGATGTTAGAAAAACACATAATTTACTAATATAATATTACTTTTCCATTGCCTAACTTTAAAAATGACAAAAAAAAAATAATCTCAAAGTCAAATCAAAATTATAGCAAATTTTCCTTAGTATAACTATAAAATATCAATAAACTTCAAATATATTTAAATTAAAATATTAAAAGGATGCTATTTTTCACTGATTTAGATAGTAAAATAAGTAATAAAATCAAATAAACTCGTTATTGGAATGCAAGCAATTTTTTATGACAGATACAAAAAATGCTGTCAAGAAAAAGCATGAAATTACCTATAACAGTGAAATTCAAATCTAAATAGTGAACCATCAACTAGTTAAATAATATAAAAGTAATTGAAACATAATAATTGATTTAAAAAGGCACTTATATGATCACAAATAAAACTAACAAATCCTACACCTTTTTAACAATAACGGACATTTTATTCTCTCCACGTTCAATCACTGACATTCAATAAATAATTCCCGTTCCTATGACGATGATTCTCTGCTTCTGTTCCAGCGCATCCACGACTTTGGTTCCTGGAATTTACCGCGGTCAAAAGCGATAGAATAGGTATACGCTTTATATTGCCATTCAACGGAATTAAATACGATCCCTTTCAATATATTAAAATGTCTACTTATTTTAGGTGTTTTTACCATGTCAGCTATCAGCGTATTTGTATTTTTTATTACCCAGCCATTACTTGTTGGATGCGTTATTTCCCTAACTACATTTTTTAAGCTTAAACTAATTATAAAATTTTTTAACGATACACTATTTGATGAGTTTGAAAAATAATCTACATTAAAATCGCCTATTATAATTACACTAGAATTTTTATCACATACATTGTTTTTGCACCAGGTTTTAAAAAAATTATAAAAATCAACATAATTACTGTTTGAGGATCTATATAGAGAAACTATTAAAAAGGTCTGTTTGTTGATAGTAATACTTAAAGAAAGAAACCAGAAATTTTTATTTATCCAATGTTTTTGAATTTTTGTTACTTTGACACCTTTTATTACATATATAATAGAATCTCCAGTGTGTCTGCTATCTCAATCCCTTCTAAATAACTGATAACCATCAATGTTTAATTCAGTATCATATATTTCAGGTGTAACATGTATTTCCGACAAACACACTACAATTGATCTAATTTTAAATACTAAATTACTTATTTCATCTAAATGAGCAGGTAGGCTTTGTGAGTTTAAGTACAAGAGGAAAGAATCTCCAGAGATATATGTGTAATATTTAAGTTTTTAACGATATTATTGGAGGTTGGACTAAAAAATTACTCCTTTGATTTTTCAAGTTAACTGGGATCTGGCTATCTTGATTATTTATTTTTACAAACCTTAGGTTACTATGGCTTGTTTATGTTTGCCTTTTTAGACAAAATTTTTCCGTTTTTTTCACTAAAATCTATAAAATGAATAAATGATTCTGTGTATTTATTTAATTTAAAAAGATACTGGTTTTAATTACAAATAAATTTATAAATGACTTCTTTAATAATAGAATCATTACAGGTAGTGACAATAAAATTAAATTTGTATTCAAACAGTTTAAATTTCTAAATGATGTATACCGTTTTTTCTGAAAATCGTTTGAACACGCTATAACAATAACAGTCATTTATTATATACTTATGTGTCAATTGTGACAAATTTTTAATTATCTTATTATAACAAGCAAAAGTTCTATTACTGCATTTCTATCAACATAAATGGGCTCCTTATTATTTATATTTCTGGTTTCTTTTGACTGTTTTTCGCCGAAGATTACTTGATTACAATCTGAGTCTTTTAGCGTAACAAACATTTTTGATTTTAATTTCAATTTTAACTCATCTAATTCTTTCATATAACTATTACTTTCCTGTTCCAAGATTTTTATTGTTTCCACCATTTGTCTACTAATCCCATCCAGTTCCTTAATTCTATTTTCCAATTCTGTTACTAATTTATTTCTACTTTCCAATTCATCATCACATAATTTTACATTTCCTTGCAATTCTGTATTTCTTTTTTTTCAATTTACTATTTATGTCCCTCTGGTCCTTTAAATTCTGTGCATTCCTGTTTTCTATTTCAAAAACTTAATCTTCGAAATCCTGGGTCTATTTATGCAGTCTCTTTATGTAGTTGTCCATATCACAAAGTGTATTGTTAAGCTCCTTGGTTATTAATTGAAATTCTTCAATTTTTTATTAGTTTTCATTCTCTTTTTTCTCTAAAAGATGAATACTTATCGTTTATTGACAGTTTACTGAGGTATAATGTTTTTTTTAGATGTACCAACGCGTCGTACAAGAAATCCAAATAATGAACCAGGCGAAATTGAAAGAGTCGTACTATCAACAGCAGATGATGAAATACTACCAGCAACAGATGATGATACAGAAACGACAGCAAGCCCTATTGGGGAATTTGAACATCAATCCCTTAAATATTCAAAAGTAAGTTTTATTTTGATCTTACAGGTGGGTCTTCGTTGTTTATTGTTTATGCATTTTTTTGTTGCAGCCTGTACGGGGGCAACGCGAACGTCGCGAATTACATGAACGGGGCGATGGCAGCGCCGAATTTCGCGAACGGTCCCAGTACGTCCAGGCAAAATCGTCCACCGAACGATGTCATTGAATTGAACGACTGACGTTAAATTATTTGTCGCGTTTATGTACACCAATTTTAATTTTTTATTCGTTTTTTAATAAATTATTATATTTAGTGTCTCCTGTCCATCCTCTTCGTTCCTCCACACATCATCATCATCATCATCATCATCGTCCTTTCCGTTTCTGTCTCTCATACTTTTTTTTTTTCACTTGGTGAATGAGATAGTCCAGTTCAAAAGATTGGACTAAAATAAATTTGTAGGTTTTCGTAGGTAAATTATGTTATTATTATATTATTATTATTTTTATTTTTTGTTTGTAAATATTTTTATTGCTTAGTATTCGAATCGTACAGGGTGTGGATTAGTCGCTGCTTTTCTTGTACAAAAAAATCTTTGGATTCATGCGGTTTTTACTTTAGTTTAAGGATTTTTTGTTTATAAAAAAATTTTCTGTCTTAAATTAATGAAAAATAAAATGGCACTGAAGTATTTATCGTAAAATAATTAATTTTTTTTGCCAATTTCTGGTGATTTTCCAATTTTTCGCAAAATTTTCCTGGTCTATATTTTTTACAATATAGTGGGTTTGTAGTGTATTTAAAAGAAGTAATTGAAAAAAATTAAAATGCTATAGAAAAACTTTGTCTTTTATTGGAAACTATTGAAAATTGAGATTTGTTATCCCCATAAATCTTTTAGGTATTTTTTTTGCGATTTTTGAGATTTTCTGATGTTTTAATCTTTCATAAAGTTTTTTTTTTGTCATATTGAAATACCAGTAATAATTATTTCGTTGGTTTTATATCCTGTTAATAAATAATTAGTTCAGGAAAATTCGCGTAAAAATGTAAATAAAAAAATATTCAAATAATGATTTATTAAAGTACCCAAATTTCAGTTGATTCACTCAAAGTAGCCCATTAATAAATGATTTCGTGCAAACTGACCTGCCTATTAACATTTCTGTATCAAAAAACTATAATTCCATTTAAAACAGTTCTTGAAGAAAAATTCATGTGTGTTAAATCGGGTGACCGTGCTGGTCGGTCTATAAATAAGATCTTTGGATTCTCTAATTTAAAGATTTTTTGTGCGTCTGAGAAGTATTTTATTAAACAACATTCTGAGAGTAATAAAATTTTTGACAAACTTTTTTGCTTTGCCTTATCACCTGTTTATTTTGTTTTATGAAAGAAAACATAGTAAATTAACTGTGTCAACTTTACGTCTGTCCTAGAAATTGAGATCTGCGTTAATGATGCATTTAACAAACGTTTTTGATGTTTGACATACCGTTTTTTGATTTAACACTTTACATAACACGTTTTGGCATTTTTTAAATCTACTTCTAATGTTTCGAAAGGAATAATTTGATGTTAGTCGAAGTTTTTTTCATTACTTCACTTTATATGACATTTTTTAAGTTTGAGCGACAATTCTACCATGTGACGTTGACATGGAAAATGTTTTTATTATTTTTGGCGTTAAAAAGGTCATTTGGTGTCAAAAGTGTTTAAGGAGCTTGAATAAACCTTTTTAAAAAACGTTAATAATGATATTTGTGTAATTATCTTTATACATGATATATCGTTTCCCAAATTGTATGCTGTCAACTGTCTATTATATCGTCCCAGTTCCTTTCTTTAAAGTAATTACATCATGATACAATGCAAATATTTACTACAGTCAAATACCACAATTGTAGAGAGTGACTCACATTTTTAACATAGACCTTTTACTTTTTAGCCGTGTGACAAGCGGCACCAAATTGCTGGAAGATACATTCCATATTATTTAAACGCATTTTTTCAATTTGGGGTTTTACGTTATTTTAAAGCCCATTAATGTACTTATCAGTATTCATAATACCTTCCACATAGTGTGAGTTTCCCACTCCTTTGGCTGACATGGCTCCCCAAATCAAAAGCCAGAAACTTAACAGACAGTCATTCTGAAACACAATCAACAATGCATACTTTAAATCTGGCTTCTATTTTTCTTAGTAAGCCAATCTACAATCTGGGCTTTTCTTCATTTGGTGGTTGGTAACTGTTCTACACGCCGGTTATGGTATGAAGCGTTATTCATAACAATAACAGATCCTGGTTCGATTTTTAAAAGAATATTTAAACACCATTTTTCATAATGTTCTGCATCCATTTCCTCATGATAATCTCCAGTATTTTTAGAAACAAATGTATTTTAACCTTCTTCAACAAATCCTGAGTCGCTACCAATATGGGTAATAATAAGGCTTTTTCTCTTTCCAGATGGGGGCTTTTAAACCTGTCAATAAACCATACTCTGCTATTGTTTTCAGATATTTTCTGCGCCGTAAAATGATTTTCTCTTTTTAAATAAGGGTACTATTCCTCTTTCTCTTTAAATACCTGAAGTTCATTTCACGCAAAGTACGTAATAGAGCACGTCTTGATATTTTTGAGAGATTTTCATTAGATTGAAGAGAGGAAACAATTTTATTTACAGTTGCAGTTCTTTTTAACATAAAATGCATGTACTGCATGACAAATGACTTGTTTGGTTATGTCTTTTTATTTTAATTTTTTTCTTCCTTTAGTCTCAGCCCTCGAAGTATTAATATTGTTTGTTTCATCCCATGCTATAAACTTAAAAGAGGCTTCCACTAATATTAGAGAGATCGGGTTATACTTAACCTCTCTGTTACAAACAATTCCAATCTCTGCTTTATGAAATCACTATCAGCGCGCCTATGACACTGCTTCGATGATAGCATCCAAGAAAAATTCAAAGACGTTGTTGCCAATAACGTCGCTTTAAACTGCGATGAAAGTGTGGATCTCGAACATTATCTACCGTTAGATAAAGATGCAAACTACACGCTGACAACGTTCCATTTTACCTCAAACTTTTAATCGCTTGGAAGACGTTTGAACAGTAAAAATAGAGCAGTCAAATTATTAAAATTATTTCAACAAAATGTCATCTGTTTTGGAGGCAAATAATAAACAAATGAATTAGTTATTCAAAAAATTTATAAAGAGCGATCTTCTCAATTTTTTGAAACTATCTGAACGTCTTAATTTTTTTGGATTATGGAATTTCTTTACAACATGAGTCACTATCTACAATTATGGTATTCTACTATAGGTAAGTTCAGACTAGGGTTGCTACCTGTCCTTTTTTCAAACAAAATGTCCTTGTGACTTTTTAAAGCTTAAAATGTCCTTTTTTAAGACACGTCCTTGAAAGGGACCTGGTTTTTATAAAAATATAAGCCGAGGACCTTTTTTTAGAAGCTCCTTAGAAGGAAGAGGACTTTTTTTTTAGAAGCTTGCCAAAAATACTGGATCCTCTGTAGTCCTTTACTTTTCAAAAAGGTGGCAACCTTAGTTCAGACAGACAAGTTCCATTCATTCCTTTAACTCCAAACGACCCTTTTAGCGTTCGATTTATTCCGATTAGTGACAGTTCAACACGGTTAAATGTCATTTAAAAGCACCCTAAAAAACTACTCCTGTCCCGTTCCAGAATCTGGCTAATTCGAATACTTCTGGATAATTTGACTGATGACAGACGTTCTTTGATAATTATAAGACATTTCTTTATAAGCTTACTATAACATACTTGGTTACAGTATTGTGGTGACGTCACACATACCGTGGTAACCCTATTGAATGTCACATGTCAAATTTAATTTAAGTTTGGGGACTTCTAAGCGGAATTTGAATTTTAGAAATTTTAGGATGTTTTAATTTTGTTATTTTTACTTTCCTATCTGTATACAGATATAAGGAAAGTATAGGAATCATGATTTTTTTCGACCTCGAGTTTTCGACGGATTTTTACGTTTTGAGGTCCCCTGAATCCGTTTTGACTATTTTCGCGATGATGTCTGTGTGTGTGTCTGTGTGTGTGTGTGTGTGTGTCTGTATAACGCATAACTCATGAACCGATACACGGAAAAACACCAAATTTCAAACTTAAGCTTTGTTCCAACGTCTAATGAGCTGATTAGATTTTGGGCAGAGTCGGAACATCTGGGGGGGTACTTTATAGGTGGTCATTTTTATATTTTATGGAATATATCTGTTATTTACGTTTGGGGAAGAAAATTCTTTAAATGAAAGTTACTTCTTATTTTATTATCTATAATTTTTGTTATATACAAAATTTTCCTAAAATGGTCCGTATTCGCGAAATTTGACAAAATGTAAAAAAATATTTTTTTTATAAAAATTGTTCAAACAAAAGTTGTTTGTAATATAATTCTCTATAATTTTTATCCTATAGATAATTTCTCTAAAATGGACCGTATTCGAGATATTTGAGAAAATGTGTAAATTTCGAAATTTGAAGAAAACTCAAAAATGGATAAAGAAAAAAACATTAAATTTTAAACTTAAGTTTTATTTCGGCCTGACGTGAAATGATTAGATTTTGGACAAAGTCGGAACATCTGGGGGGGTACTTTATGGGAGGCCGTTTTTATATTTTATGGAATATATCTGTTATTTATGTTTGAAGAAAAAAATTGTTCAAATAAAAGTTACTTCTAATATTATTATCTATAATTTTTGCTTTATGCAAAAATTTCCTGAAATGGTCCGTATTCGAAAAATTTGACAAAATGTGCAAAATTCTGATTTTTATGAAAATTGTTGAAATAAAAGTTGTTTGCGATATCGATCTCTATAATATTTGTTTATACATGATTTTTTTAAAATGAACCGTAATGGAAAAATTGTAGGAAAAGTGCTAAATTTAAATTTTTCAGTATTTTCATTTTCAATGAATATCTATAGAAAAATGTTTCGCGGTAGATGTATGTGGACAATGTATATATTTAGTTTATCCTCTAAACATTTATAGAGATGCTGCAATAGATTGTACAAAATAACCGGAAAAAGCCTGTAATACCTAGATAGGAAAGTCATGTGTTGGACACATCAGATTTTTTATTATAGTTTGTTCCAGTACGCTTATAAATGAATGTCGAACCAGAGATAACAGGAGATGTAACTACTAACAAATATCGTGCGGTCCTTTATATATATTTACATATAATAAAAAAACTAAAATAATTCAACTAAACTGAACCCAAACATTTTTAAATCTTCAGTTATTTCAAATTTAACTAAGTTAGACGTAATAATTTTTAAAAAAATTCCAAAACTTAGTCATGTTAAGTTGGCAACAGGGCTTACACCGACATGGATATCTACGTTGTTTATTATAAGCGCACAGCGGCTTGCACATTTATTCATTGATAACAAAAGTTGTATTTGCGTAAAATCCTTCTCTTTATCCCCTCTCTTACTTCTTACCTTTCGTCTCCTCGCCGCGGACCTACAAATAGAGCGTATTGATTGTCGAATTAATCTTGGCAGGAGGAACTATTTCTTAAGGAGAGCAATGTCATGAAATTCCTAATCTGATCTTGTGCCTAAAGCAAGCCCGACCTTCAGAAGGCAACCGACTCGTGATCGAGGTGACTGAATGTTCTAAGAATTCCGCTGTGGCTCGACTTCTAGTAGGAGCCTTTCGTCTCCTCGCCGCGGACCTACAAATAGAGCGTATTGATTGTAGAATTAATTTTGGCAGGAGGAACTATTTCTAAAGGAGGGGACAATGTCATGAAATTTCTAATCCGACCTTGTGCCTAAAGCAAGCCTGACCTTCAGAAGGCAACCGACTCGTGATCGAGGTGACGGAATGTTCTAGGAATGCCGCTGTGGCTCGAGAAACTGGTAGAACGGGCGAAGTGTGCCGTTGAGTCAGATGTGGAATTTTCGAGACGACCGTCTGGAGACTTCTAGTAGGAGTTGGACTTAATATAAATAGCCGATTCGTCGGCGGACAGTCAGTGTTGTTCCTAGAGATTTTTGAATTGTACAACTTTCAGTATCAAAATTGTACACTTTTACGTTCGATTGTACAACCACTAATTAATCTTCTTCTTTTTTATTGACAGACTATGGCATACTATTTCCCTATGCTTAAATTTCTTCTTTTTTCCAGTTTAAAATATATTTTCGATGTAAAACGGTGTGCTGATTGGTCGCGAATTGCGCCAAATTTAAACTTTTATTTTTTTTTATTAATTTTAATGCATTTTGTATAAATATTTAGCAATTTCAAATTGTACAACATTTCTGTCTTTTTCAAAAATGCGTACTTTCGCATAACTGATTATACAATTTTTTGTACAATTGTACAACCAAGAACAACACTGTGGACAGTTGAGTTTTAATATAGAACGTTGTATTGAAAAGTTAAAATGTAAGAAATAAATTAGAATTGTTAGTTAGTATTATATAAATTAAATAGTACGTCTGAAATAAATTGTACATAGTGTGTTTTAAATAAATAAACTATACATAAATTAGACTTTCGTCACAATATTATATTTTATCAATGAATAGTTACATCTCTGTTATCTGTGGACCAAACCTTATAAAGAATTGTTTTGGTTAGTATGTTGTGGTAAGCTTATAAGGAAATGCCTTTACTGGTTAATTTAAGACTTGACAATTGACTTATGACGTAAAGTTGACACTGTCGTTTTGGTAGAACAGAAGTAAAAGTTGGAAATGCTTTTGCCAGTTCTCCCATTTTATACACATAAATTGACAGGTTGGCAGCGGATCTCACCGAAGTGGACGCGATACATTGGCGTACAAAATTAGTTTATAGATGTTAATAACAATTTCTAGTAAATAGTTTAATAAATTGTGAATAGCTGTTGAAATTTTGTAAAATTATGATTTGAATATTATAATACATGTTTAATAATTATTTATATATAAATACATGCGATTGTCCGGTTCCGCCGATAACAATTTAAAATTACTTATTCTATGAAACAACACGATAGCCCAATCGGATTAGTATTTTAGATTCTGAAAAATTCGAAGCAGCAATTTTCCTTCGGAATTCGTTGGAGGGGGTCTCTGGTAGTCTAAATTCAAAAAGTTGGGATTCCAAAGTTGTCGTTACCTCAGCCATCTTGATTTAAAGGGTTTTTTTTTGTAACTTGAATAACTCATGTATTTTCAATTTTACACGGAAAATAGTTTTTACAAAAGTTATTTAAAATTAAATTTCCTACAATTCTGCTTTTTTTTTGTACGATCGATTTTTTTCGATTTATACCCGAAAAGAGGGGGTGAATTTTTGGTTATAGAATAACTCGTTTATTTTCAATTTTACGAGAAAAATTGTTATAAACAAAGTTGTTTAAAATTAAATTTCCTACAATTCTGTTTTTTTTTGTACGATCGATTTTTTTGTATTTATCCCTGAGAAGAGTGGGGGTGAACCTAAGTATTGTATTGTCACGTTTATTATTGATATTGTACCATTATTTTTTCTGTTTTTTTTTTGCTGATACCTGGAATTAAAAAGAAACGTGATAATACAATGATAAGAGTTTACCCCCACTCTTCTCAGGGATAAATACAAAAAAATCGAGCGTACAAAAAAAACAGAATTGTAGGAAATTTAATTTTAAACAAGTTTGTTTATAACAATTTTTCTCGTAAAATTGAAAATAAACGAGTTATTCTATAACCAAAAATTCACCCCTCTTTTCGGGTATAAATCGAAAAAAATCGATCGTTCAAAAAAAAGCAGAATTGTAGGAAATTTAATTTTAAATAACTTTTGTAAAAACTATTTTCCGTATAAAATTGAAAATAAATGAGTTATTCAAGATACAAAAAATAACCCTTTAAATCAAGCTGGCGGAGGTAACGACAACTTTGGAATCCCAACTTTTTGAATTTAGACTACCACAGACCCCCTCCAACGAATTCCGAAGGAAAATTGCTGCTTCGAATTTTTCAGAATCTCAAGCCTGTTCTTCACCTAATCCGATTGGGCTACGAGCAGGTAAACATTACTGCGAAATTCTCGGAGCCGCCCGACCTACCTACCAGAAGACTTTTCAACTTTTATTTTCTCTATAATATCAATGCTGCGTTTGTTTATCCACATCAGATACATCCGAGATGTTGTGAATCTTTGCCTATTCAAACGTAGCAAATGTCTATGAAAGAAATAGCGGTTAGTCCATGCTCTGTAGATAAAACCACGGTGACTTTTGACGCTGAGTGATTTATTTAACGGATTTGTTTTTTTAAATTACCGTTTTCGATCATATTTTCCACTTTTTTATACTTTGAAGCGCGTACAGAGAATGGATTTTCAATATTCTAATCGTTTTTTGACTTTAGATTACTGAACATATGGGATTGTGTCGATTTCTGATGTTTTTTTCTATATTTTGTCAAGAATTATCGTTTAATTTTAAGTTCTTTTTATTGAAAAATTATTTATGAAAGAGTAAAAATGCAGTTCTAGATATTTTCTGCCTATTTTAATAAATATTATGCAATTTTCGTATTAAAATTGAAAACGTAAATTTTCTATTTTCATTGCAAAAAATTGATAGTTTTGCAAGATAAATGAAATTAATAATAATCATTTTAGTGTCGAAAGGTTTTCGTTGGAGTGTTAATTGTACCATTCTCGCCCTGTTTAGCTTTTTTTTTAAATATAATCAAAACCGTCTTAGCATTGACATTTGTATAAAGTTTTTTTAATTATTGTGCATTAGTTTTCTTTAATAAAATTTAAAATGAACGATTTTTATTTCATTTTGTATTGATAAGTATTTTTTCGATTGGGCATCTCTTATATCTTTTTTCTTCTATTCACAATAAAAAAATCTATAATAATTTCCATTATT